TAATGTAAACAAAACTTTAAAACAATGGAAAAAAAAGGTACTGGAGACCCGACTTTCGACATACAAACAAATCAACAAACAGCCTCTCGGTTCCCATTATATTCTTAAGTTGGGGACTTACTGTATATCACTATATTCTTGAGAGAAAAAACATCATGAATATATCTATTGATAACAGGATTAAGATATACTTAATAAAGATCTATTCATCATTGTGTGGTTATATCGACAGACATTATAAATTGGCACTTATTAACTGCCTTGTAATGCCCTGATACATGGATAACTACTCCTCTCAAAGGTCTTAAACCATTACCACTCTAGAAAATGACTGAATGAAATTTGTTCATAATCAACCAGATTTTTCCACACAGCATTCATCAAGCATCTTGACTAGTTGAGAGGCAGCAGTAGTTATAAGGTAGTGATTTTTTCAGTGTGTTTCTACAATGTAAACATATTTTTTGAGTCATTTCAATTCCTGCTCAATAATTCAAAAACTAACAGTGTTGCATTATGTATTCTCTATGGGGCCACTACTTTCACTCTTCTATGCTTCCAAGCAACTCTTTATTTCCTAATTTGTCTGTTTCATGGGTGCTGCAGACTTAATCTATGAGTAGTGATATACAGCAGATATTTTCATCATTTTGCAGTAAATACAAGTCCACTGCAGCTGTACCTGTGTTATTTATTACTCTATTTTTTTGTGTTCTATAGGATGGCAGCATCCATTTCCTTCTATCTTTGTGCATCACTCTCAGGAACATTAACCCCATGTATAATCTTTAAGGTTCCTTTACTCAATTATGTAACCAGACTCAATACCATGCAATTTTAAAAATTATGATAGCACCTAAAATACCATTTAAGCATATAAACAAAATTTTAAAATAAAGATTCATTTAACTATATCAATCATGTGGAAGGTTAATAGCCCTCCCTGGTTATTTATCATATAAATATGAACTAATACAAATACCATTGTTTACTGTAAACCAATGAAACCATCCAATCAAATATCTGTCTATTTATTACTTAGCCCCTTGCTAACGGGTCACACGCTGAGGCCACTGGCGTGGCCACGGGGGGGTATGGGGGGGCAATTGCCCCCCCACTTTTGCCAAAAGATGGTCCTCGAGATTCCTTTAAAATCGAAGAAAAAATGGCGGGGTATAGGTTGGGTAATAATTTTTCCGGCAGCAAAGTTTGTATATATACAATGACAAGCTAATGACAAGCATGATATTAGGAGATGCATTCTAAGCCAAAGTAAAGGGTGTGGCCCCAAAAATTTTCCTGGGGGCTTCACCCCCCGACCCCCTCATTAGTTTGCCCCCCCACTTTATTTACCCTGGCCACGCCGCTGGCTGAGGCTTCATTACAAACCCCTCGATCTGTGTAGCGCTACGAGCTGGGGGTTTGGCTTGATGTACTGAACTCCCACGCTCAAAGTCGGTTCACGCACATTAAGAGGATAATTATTTCTCTTCATTTTCAAATAAAGAACCAGTCCAAAGAATTTTTATTCAATGCCATCCACTGTCAAATAAGGGAAACATTTCAAGCTCATTCTTGCCCATGTAGTTTGGAGTTTGTTGTCCTTTGCCAAAGTGCTGATAGGCACAGAAATTACTATATTCATTTGCTGTTAGTATTAGCAGTATGAATCAGCAAGGTAATATTATTATTATTATTATTATTATTATTATTATTATTATTATTATTATTATTATTATTATTATTATTATTATTATTATTATCATCATCATTATCATTATCATTATCATTTATTTATTTAGTTATTTATTTTTTATTTATTTATTTTTTTTCTTTTAATGATTCTATCTGAGAAGAATAATTCTTTAGGAGTTCACTGATCTATCCATTCCATATACTCTACAGTGTAATATAGGCTTATGTCTACCAATAATTTTACGAGAAGGTGAGGATTTTATTCTTGCTAATTTGCATTTCTATACTTTGTTCATGTTCTTATATGTTTGCCATTATACTAATCATATCAGTTATAATAACAAACCAATAACTTTACTTAAATATTGAATTTTGGGTGAGATAACACGTAATGACATCGTTTTCACAGAAGTTACAAGAGGAGTTACCAGTGCTCCGGCCAGTGGTAAAATTTACCATGGTAACTCCAATGGCAAGAGGCTAGTGAACACCAATGCTGTTGGTTTACAATCTTATGCTGAGTTCAGAACTCCTTTTCCAACAAGTTGGACAAGATGGACAAGATGTTTTAACCCACCGGAACTATTACTTTCGTGTCCTGGAAAAGTTACGCGTCTCATCCATCTCACCCTGGTTCACTGTCATGGGAGCAGGACATGATGACATCACAATTGCAATTGAATGTAAACAATGACAACTGCAGGCAATAATAAGATATTGATAGATAATTTCATGCCCTTTACTGTAGTTATCAAAGGGTTGGTGAGTTATGCATTACAGGAGTTACAAAACCTAAACAGAATGT